GCCTTTGTACGGGGGTTGGAGGTCATTCAGCTGTCAGTTTTAATAGAGGCCGAACACTTTGATGGCGTTGACGTTGAATGTCCCTCAATATTGGACTTCGACCTGGCGCCGGACAGGGAGGTCGCATGTGTGTGGCCATATACGAATCGAATGCCCCGGGGAGCAGTTTCTAATGAAGGACAACAGAAGCGGGCAGTGCAGTGCACCAGGAGGCAGGACGAAGGAGGCCTTCTGCTCATTTGGACGAAAATTTTGACGCTTTATGAGCGGTCCCTTTAGTGCTGAGTGTGCGCAAAAATGTAATTGAATGAATACCGAATGCGTAAGCGTAAGCGTACCACGAAGAGAACGAAGAAGGTCATCTAGAAGGCCATAAAATGTTTGTCTTCCATTAGACCAGAGAATGTTACGACAGTGGAGCTCTGCTCCACTCCGACAGCTCTTTACAGAGAGAGGGAGAGACTACTTGGTGGCACTTCAGAGAGAGAGGGAGGGAGGGAGAGTGTCCCTCTTTGAGGCACTCTTTTGAGAGTGGATTCCCCCCTTTCATAAGATGTCATCTAATGTAGGATCCCCCATAAAACCCATCCATGGCGGAGACAGAGACATGACAGAGTTATGAGCTGTTGAGGCACCCGTTGGGGATCTCCCAGTCCCCATCCCCATCCCCATCGCCATGCCGTCCCGGCCTTAACTTAAGTTTCAGCTTAACCTCTTCGTTGGGTTTGTTTTTGGGGTTTGGGTTTGTTTAATTCGCGTGACTCGCGTGTCTTGCTGCATTTTGCGAGTAGTGCACCCTCCACAGAGGGTATAACGATTTTGCAGCATCTGCTCAAGCACGAAGCACTCTGTAATCAAACAATTTCCACAGCTTTGGCCATAGATATAGTACACCAGGAAGAACACCCAAGATCGCATAGTTTCCTTGGGAAATGTCGTCTAAACACCCAGTATTTGCAGAGAAACACTAGTTATAGTCCTAGTCCTAGTGCTTTTCCTTGTGATTCCATAGGTACGATCCATTGGCTAGGGTATCGAATGCCTCGGCACCCACGGCCTGCCTTCCTTTCTGGTTTGGTTTTTTTGTTTTTATATCTCTTGGCCCCCAGAGCTATCGAATCCTCTGTCATTGTTTTGAGTCACGAATGCAAATGAATGTGTGGGTCGTAGGGGGGGGCAGAGACGGGGGATAGGGGATCCCGATCTGCGATCCGAGACTTGGGAAATATTGAATCTCATGTTACGGGCATCAAATATTTATAATTTCTGCCTCCTGCAGCTCCACCTCTCTTCCTGTGCCTGTCCCTGTCCCTGTCCCTGTGCCTCTGCCTGTGCCTGTCTCTGGCCCCGTGCCAAATTATCATGACAACTTATTTAACTTGGCTCAAAGGGTAGGGGCAGAGGGTGAGGAGGAGGAGGAGGGCGGGGAGGAGCGACCAGAGCCCAGAGGCTGTATCCATGACTTGGCCTCTGGGCTTTCGACCTGCTGTGCTGTGGGGCGCTCCGCTGCGGTGCGCTGCGGTGCGCTGCGGTGGAAACTTCGCCGAGTTGACAAAAGTTGAAAGTTTGCCCGCAGCTCAAATGCTAATTAGTAGGGAAAATAGGGGAAGAGGAGGCAAGGATGGGTAAGGGATGCAGGGCCGTGTAGGGAGTGGAGAGCCGAGAGCTGAGAGCCGGGAGCCGGGAGATCATGGCTACAGAAGTTGACAGCCACTTGGCACGTAACGTTAGCAGGCTCACACTTTCCGGGCAGCCACGGGAGGGGGCCAACCAACTCGGAATGGGAAGTGGAAGCCAAGAAAACGACTGCGAAATAGCTACTTTAATGCAGGAATTATCTGTTAAGCTTTACAGGGTACTGGTTGCATGAGAAAGTCCTGTAAAACTACACAGACTCTGCTTTCTACCATGAAAGATAATCCAATTCAAGGATATCCGTCTATAGCCCCAATAGAGAGAGTTTCTGGACAGTCTTCCGATGATTAGCTCTTCATTTGGGCAGCCCCATCACGAATTCTGCGGAAATCATAATCTTAGGAACTTTTCAACTGGAACTCCTTCAAAGATGGGCCACAATCGGGTGTCTGGACAGTCCGAAGGGATAGACCGTCTCCACCCATCAACTCATCAGCCTTTGTGATGGCAGGTGGCAAGGGGCAAGCGGCAAGGGGCAAGGGGCAGGCACCTCATCAGTATGCCTGGCCAGATGTCAGCATGTGGGCGGCAAATGTCCTGGAAACTCTCGGTTCATTCACTCAGTTGACATTTGGGATTCCAATTGATTTCGCACTCGGCACTCGGCACTCTGCTGTTCCGATGCTCCGATGTTTGCTCTGCTGATTTGCCAAAGAGGAAAAACACGGAAAATTCGCATTCATTTTGCAAATGAAAATGAAAATCCTTGTGCCTGCCTGCCTGCCTGCCTGCCTGCCTGCCGGCCTGCGAATGGCAAAGGCGAAAATATTCAAATCTGCAATATTGACACTTGATTTGCATTTATAATGGCTACGTGATTTTCGGTTTTCGATTCGATTCGATTCGGTTTTCGGTTCTGTTTGAGGATTAGAAAGTTGTCTCCTGTGCGGTTTTCTTTTTGCTTTTCCATCCAGGTCTGGGGTTACGGTCGCTGCTCCTGTTTTCAGTGCCACTTTTATCCTATCTGAAAGATTGCATCTTTGGGAAAAATGTGTTAATTTCTCTACCCTCCGCTACGCCCCTTGCTCTCATTCAGGACCTTCTTCTTCTTCGGCCTCGATTCAAGCATATTGCGCATAAAAAATTGAACAACCTCTCGGCCCTGGCCCTCGGGTTGTTTTCACCATAAAATAATCTTTTTAAGCCGAAAACAAATTACAAATACGAGAATACGATGGCAGAACAAAGGCAGGACAGGCAGAGCAGGCTGGCAGGACGGAAGGACGGCAGGATAGAAGGGGAGAGGGCAGCAGAGCGACGAGTGGAATACCCTCTATACAATATATAATTTGTTCAATTTTTTCCCGCTGCTTTGCATATTTTTCCTGCTCCTTATGCTCCTTATGCTCCTGGTTCCTGGTTCCTGGTGTGTGTGTGTGTGTTTGTGTGTGTGTGTGTGTGTTTCGGGGCTCTAACAAATTATAATGTATTGGAAATTGACAGAATTATGTAATGAATAGAAAATTATGCAAATTACAGTGCAGTTACATTTAATGGCACGACCTTTTCCGCCTCCCACTCTGCCGCTGCCCTTGGCTCTGGGTCTGTCCTTTCGGCCTCTCGCACCGAACCTGACCCCCAAAGAGAAATCGAATTTTATTGACAGGCCATAAGAAGGTGAATTTTCCAGCAGCAGCAGCAGCAGGAGCACCACCACAAGCAATGAGTTTTCCGAATGTGGAGGAAAGCGAAAGAGCCCCAAAAGTAAAGGCTAATGTCATCGTGGGGGGACGGGGGGTAACAGCGTCGATTGAAGGCCATTTTGCGGAGAGAACAATCTTAAAGAGTCCCTCCCCATTTCCATTCGGGGAATGTGTCTTTAAGAAATACAAAAGATATCCATAAGAAGAGAGAAAGAGACGTTTTTCCCGCAACGAGTCTTTGGATCAGATCAGATGACATCCAATAGTGTCTCTCGACACCAAACTTCAAATATCAAATGAGAGTCCCATTTCTCCAAGGAGGAGAACTGATTTACTGACTCACATGAAAATTGCCTGGGAAAATCCGATGACAACATGCAAAAAAATGCCTCTTCTAATTCTGTAACAGATACGAGTGTGCATCGTACATTTCTCCCGAAATCTTTGCTCTCAAAAACAAGATGATGAAATGCCTAGTTCATTAAAAGTCCTCCCAGTTTATCGCCAACTGGGGAGCAATAAGGAAAAGTTTTGCCGGCTCTTCCGTCTCCATGCCCGAACACAGCCCACAGAACACCGCCCACCGCCCACCGCTTATCAGGCATCGTTTTTCATATTCAAATATTTTTCTTTTCGTGGTAATTAATCATCCAGAAAAAGCGGAAAAACCACCAGACAGGCAGACAGACAGAGAGAGAGAGACAGAGAGAGAGCGATACAGAAATGTCTCTCTCGAGATAATGTCAACATAAATTGTTTCGGCAATTTTCTACAATTTTCCTGGGATTATTTATGACGGCTTCTACTCTGCTTCTACTCTGCTTCTCTCTCTCTCGCTCCTTTGCTCTAGGAAAATGCGAATTTAAAGGTTGAGCTGGGGAAAATTAGCCTGCTTCAAGGACTACTGAGGAAACAGAGGGAAGCGGAGGTGGGAGATTGGAGGTTGGTTGAGGGGCATGGCATTCAATTTGACGTGTTGACTTTGGCCTGTGGCCAGCTTTGGGGAGGCTGAAGCAGGTCCAGCAGGTCGCAGGACACACCCTGAAGGGGGGAAGGGGAAGGACAGGCACACGGTCCAGCAGAGGACCACTGAATGCGGCATTTAATGAGCCTGTCAGCAGTCAGCAGTCGACGTTGGTCGCTTTTCCTCGACTCAATTCACTTCACTAAACGGGTGATGGTGCGATGCGGCTGCTGGTCCGACGACTGTGTCCGTAGTCCTGGATGCGGAAGGGATGTGATGTGGTGTGGCTGCTCAACCCCTCGCTCGGTGGTCAGTTTAATCACAAAGTTTAATGAATGGCTTAAGGGTTGAGGGCGAAAGAAACACTATTCTCCCACCGCCTTCACCCCGCCCCGGCGCAGTTCCGTCCGGCAGCGCTTATTGACAATCTCCAATCAACCGGAGACGGGCCAGAAATTTCCATAATCCAAATCAAAAATATTATTTCTATTGTTTCTGGCAGTTCGTTGGGGGCGGACTTCACTATATCTTCTTTCAAGGGCAGCTTTTCTTGCCACACACACACATATGTAGTTCTCAGGGATTCTCAGGGATCCCTGCCTCCTTTAAAGCCTCACTTAACCTCCTTCGAGGCAGCAGCCTGCCTCTTGCTTTTATAACTAATTTTTCATCGGAAATTATGCAAATTCAATTTTCAGGACTGCTTCCGCCTTGCCACGCGAATCGAGCGCCCCCCACCCCTCCCCAACGACCACGCCCCTTTCAGCTGGTAAGTAAGCATATTATTATAATTGTTGAGACCTCTTCTCTGGCCGTGCCCCGGTCGGTGGTGACTTCCCTGGAATCAGGTCTTCACTCCGCGGGGAGTGCGTGTGCTAGCCCTCGAGGCGTAAACAAAATTATGTTTTCATTGTTCGCGCCCTTGACACACGCTTCGGTTTTTGATCACTTCTGGATCTGGCGGAGGATCTGGAAGAGGTGTTGGCCTGAGACGGGGTCCTTTAGTTATCTCCAGATATGCCTTAAGCAGCTATTTTGCTGGTAAAATTAGCTCCAGGAATGCCGTCATCTATGGAGTACTGCCATAGGAGCCCTTTCGACGGTTGTCTAGAGAAAGTATCTTTGGACAGGACTATAACTATAGGAATCTGGATATGGACTATAGGAATCTTTAGCTAACTTTAACATTTATTAGCTTCCAAGTCCCAGTCCAGAATTGACACCTATGTACTTATATAAATGGATATTTATTTCCACCACACTTTATTTACTTGGGAAAAACTTTTTTATTTCCCTGGAAAAACCTGCTCTGCTTGATTGACTTTGCAGCTTAAGCATTAACTACAATTTTAGAACTGTTTTACCATCAAAAATCCTGTCTAGACTTCATTTACTACCTTGCAGCACTCGAAAATAATTTCAATTTATTATTTTTCCGTTTTTTCCGCTTTTTTATTGTAGCCGCGGTTCGTGTCTCGGCTACGGCTGAGGCTGAGGCGAACAACAGAGAGAGACAACCATAGAGTCGACTCTGCAAGGCAGCACCAGGTCAGAGGCCAGAGAGGGATGAACATACGGAGAGCTCAGTGCGCTAGAAGGTGAGAACTATATTTGATGAACGAATGAAGGGGAAACGTTATGTACTTGAATGCTGCTCCCATTGGCTGGGATTCTCTTATGTAAAAGCAAAAGCATCTAGTGTTTGGTTTTTGGCCTTCTTCTTGTGTGTGTGTTTGGGTGTTTGGTGTTTGGTGTTTGGGTGTGCTTCCGTCCAGGTCAACGCGATTCATTTTCCGCAGATCCATCATCGTCAGCAGACGTTCTGTCTGTCCGCAGTAGGAGGATGTGTGATAGGATACGGATAGGTGTACGTAACAGGATATTGAAGAAGCGAAACGAAATGAGGAGGAATAATCCAAGGACTGTTGTTCGAAGAATGTTTGAAGAGCTTAAAGTCTCCAAAGATGGAGTTTTTAGAGGCTTAAAGTTTCCAGAGCTGAAAGAATCGCTCTTCTCCGACGGAAACGAAAAGTTATAGTGTTTTATTTTGTTTGGAAAGCATCTACCGTCAATAAAAAGAAGATACTTCCTTCGCACAATAGAGAAAGTGAGGATTCATGGAGAATTGACAGTCCACCAGTAGAAAAGTACTCAAACTACGTAGAACTTTCGCTAGTGTTCCAAAGGTATATGCTAAATTCGATGTATACCAAGGGCTATAGATTTAGAAATGTGCTCCTAAATGATGGACTCTAAAGGAGAATATCGCCACCCTTGTAGGATCTTTTTATTTATTTGGAACAACGATCTTGGATCGACCTTCAGTGGCTTGCTCGCAGGGGCTCTCTCTGGCTGTCAGATGTCGTTTTGAATTTTCAGTTTTAAATTCTCCAAGATTGCAAAAAACAAAGAATTTTGAAGGGTGCTTTCCGAAATATTTCGACTATTGTGTGGAGCCCCAAATGGTTTCGAAATCAAATACAATTTCGGACGTGTATCGAACTGAAGTATCACATAAACATGTACATATATATATCTTTCTCATCTTATTACTTTTTATTCTTTTACTTGTACGGCCCTGCCGCTTATGGAGAAAGGTCCCCAGAAGGTGCCGCCTGTCGATCCCCTGCAAGCGCTTCATGGTCCAGAATGAGACTTTGGTAAGGGTGTTCAAATGTATGTATGGACATATGTCCATGTTTGTCTTAGACAAAGTATACGCTAAGGCTGTTAGTGTTCTGGCACTAAAACAATTCGTAGGCTAATGCGAATAAATGCTGGAAATATATTGTATGCCTTTTCTTGGAAACTTATCTTGGGTGCGTTTCTAGCTTGTATATCATCGCCACCTGCTCCGCAAGGATCATCTACAATCAACGATCGATCATGGATTCCGATCCCAAAAATGCAAATCAAGCCCAGATCGGCCCACAAATCTTAGACAACATAATAATATGTTAAGAAAACAGTAAGTTTTACAGTACAATAGACAATGGAAAATATAATATTTATTATAATATTAATATTAATTTATCGTATTTTTTGTATATTTAAATTTCAGTATAAAAAAGAATTAATTTTACTGCATGGTAACTACACGGTAACTACACGTCAACTACAAATTTCGCTACACATTGGATGTAATTTTAAACAGCGCCATCTGATGGGGAAATGCGTACGTTTGGTGACAAGCTTGTCCGTTTTTTTTTCAAATAGGTCCTTTATCCACTTTTTTGTATGACTTTTGAGATTTTGTTGCCAATCGATCGGAAATCCGACGCTGATCAGTGATCACGATGGAGGTGATAGGAGGGGGTGGGACATGCCACAAAATGGATTTGTTAAATATGCACTGAGCAAATGCAAATCGAAGTACATGATTGGACGTGATTAAAAACTATCGCCTTCGATAGAGATAGGAAAAGCCCCCGATCAAACTTCATTGAACTGCTGCACCCAGTCCCAGTCTCTTGCAAGGCATGAATTTAGATTTTGGTAGATCATACGTGTAGGTGTCTGCGCGAGTTTGTGGCTGAGAAGGTGGCCAGCACGGAAATAGGACAAAATCCATTTATACAGAAAGAAAAAAGAGAAACATCTATTTTTGTAGTGCTGGAATTCCCAGGGAATTGTCAATCCCATATTGTCTAGTGGTTAGGATACCCGGCTCTCACCCGGGAGGCCCGGGTTCAATTCCCGGTATGGGAAACTGTTAAAGGTTTCTTTTTTTTTCGCTGAGCAAGGACCTGGCAAAGAAAAGCTCCTTTTGATGTGCGCAACCTGGTCATAATCTATTTTTAGGGATAGAAAATAGAGAAAAAAAATTGTTGTAATGCTATAATCAATCCCATATTGTTTAGTCCTGGTGGAGAAAACTATAAACATTTGTATGACAAGAATGAAAATACAATACTAATTAATTATAATTTTAATATTATTAATAATAATAAAAAATAAATAAAAATTGTAAAAATATTGGATTACCTACATTTATCATGGCAAACTTTTGGACTGGGGTCTTTGATGCCAAATGGTGGGGGATATTCTCGCGATCACGAGGAGGACGATCGTAGAAAATTGAGGTCAGTCGATAGGCAGGACTCTCCCGATCACAAAATGACATGCCACGCCCTGATCGGCCCATAAACAGTCGAGATATAGCGTACAGAAAAAACCAGTATTTGCACGATGTGCAAATTCCAATCTTTGGAAGGCTATATCTCGGGCAAATAGGGCCAGATCGGTGGAGGAGCTAGTCTCCCAGGATCGCGGGGATCCAGACTGTCGATCGGCATCAAAATCTCGACCTCGAAAATGAGGCCGATTTTTGGCAATTTTAATGATGGTTACATCATGATTTTTGCCGAAAATCGTGAGGACATGGATGTCCTTTTTTCCGATACCAATCGATTGGCAGGACTCTTCCGATCACAAAAAGGCATGCCACGCCCTGATCGGCCCATAAACAGTCGAGATATAGCCAAAGAAAAAATGACAATTAAGGCCGACGTGAACAGCGAAAACAAAGAAATTTCCAATCGAGGTACTAGGCGAACAGAAATCAGCAGAAAGCAACTTTAGCAAATGAAAAAAACTGGTGCATACTTTTGGGGGCGTACAAATTTTTTCAAAAAAACCCAGCTACCTTCTGCTGATTTCTGTTCGCCTGGTATCCCAGGTCTGAAATTCTCGTTTTTGGCCATTTCAGCGGACGCAATTCGAGGGTTGTTGTTGTACCCGTAGCTCCGTTATTTGTGGGCCGATCATGGCGAGCGACGGCTCCCTGTGACCGGACGAATATCCTTGATTTTATGGAGTCCTTATCAAGGATCAAGGATATCAAGGATATCTTGTTTTCTCCATTATTTGGGACTAGAACGGGACGTGTGACGGCTTCCTTTTATCGGAAAAATATCCTTGATCCTTGGATAATTACTTTGACATACCCGACATACTTATTTAGTTTTCTCAGCTATTTGTTTACCGATCTAGGCGTCCGATGGCTTCCTGTGATTAGAAAAATGTCCCCGATTTGATGGAATCCTTAGCAAGGATCAAGGATCCTGCCCGGCTTGCCCCAACTCTTCGTGATCGGAAAAATATCCTCGAGAGGGGTAACACAATAATTTCCGTTCCATAAAGAATTTCAAAAGACATCCTTCTTTTTCATTTAAATACTTTTATTCTTGAACTTTTATAAACTCATTCCTTATTTTGTTCTTGTTTTACTGCCATTAAAGTTTTGAAAACGCACAAAGTATAGAAAACCTTAAAGAAGAAAAAAAAAACCCTTAGATTACAATTTAACTGCCAGAACTCGACTAAATCATAATTTAAGATGATCTTAGAAAATTATATATTTTTTTCATTTTTTTTTTTTTAGTTTTGCAAAATCTTATAAGGTTTATCTATATCCTATTAATATAATAGACATAAAAGGTAGGGGGATCGATTGGGGGATGGTGTGTATATAGTTGCATTGAATATAAAAATAGAAACTCTCGATTTTAATGCAGTTTGAGGGATACTTCTGGTTCCAGTTCCAGTTCCAGTTTTAGAGATACTTTTACTTCCAGTTCTGCTTCCCGTTTTAGTTCTAGCACTAGTTCTGGCTTTGCTTTTAGATCCATTTCTGGTTCCGCTTGTAGTTTTGTGGCATTTAGCTTCTGTTTTGCTTTGTTGCCTGGGATACGATTGCTCTCTTTTGATACAATTTTTCATAGTTCTCTCTAGGGATATTCTCTGCCCATTGGGGCTTCCCTTTTCACAGTTCGCATTTCTTAGGCACTTTAGTGTTTTTCAAACAAAAAAGTCTACAAAAAATGCTTGAAATTTGTTCGTATAAATATTAACTGGGGATCTATCGTCATATATGTGTGGATTTTCCTGTGGGTTTCTTGGGTTTGACGATTCCTCTGATTCCTCTGGGAGATACACCTATTCTTAAGGGTTCCTTGGGTTGGGGATTGCTCGGGGGAAACCCCTTTCATGCGGTAGTCGATATGTGGCTCTCCAGTATAGTTTTTTTTCATAAGTACTGTTTTGCTTAGCTTGAGCTTTTTCCATCAATCATCATTCGTTCTTTTCGATCGTAAATCGTTCATCATTCATCAAAAATTGGATCCTAAACGCGTAGGAAATTAACCGAAATTACAAACAATATTCTTAGTGTTAACTAAAGTTCCAATACGCGACCACTATCTATAATTAGACATATAAAAATTGTCCCCCTCTCCGGAGGAGCGCTGCGTTTTCCACAGAACGTTTAAAAACGCGTCAACTGCCGTTGGGCGGGCGTTTAAAAACGCTAGCGAGCTCATCTATGGAGCTGCGCGTCGAATGCGGCGGTTGTTGCATGGATTGGATGGACGGGCGTCCAGTGTCCACACCTGGTAGTTACTACTGTTAAGTGCCTTAACATAACGTAACATAATCTACAACGAGATGCACGCGACTTTCTGGCGCTCAAATCGGAGGCGGGCCGCGAATGTACCGCAGCTGCGGGGTGAAGCTCATCGACAGGTTGTTGAGATTGTCGCAGCAGTTGGGCTGCATGAGGCAAGCAGCGCAGAAGAACGTGATGAGCGCGAGCTGCATTGGCACTGCCGCACGGGCGATGCGCCATGCCCATCCGCGCGGTGGCACCTTTCCTTCGTCCCCATCGGTTGCGCCATCGTCTTCCCCGCTTTCGAGGCTGAGGAGCAGCGAGGGATCGTCGGAGGGGTCACCGCCGCCATCGCCACTGGTCAGGATCACGACATTCTTCTGCCTTTCCTCTGAATGGTCTTCTGTCTGATCTTCTCCGGCTTTCTGTGCCTGACGCGTTTTGCGGGCGTTTCTGCGTTTTCCCGGAGATTGCGGCTTCTCCTGCGCCTGCCCCTTGCCGGCACTCGCCTTCTTCACATGCCCGTTGACCTTGGGAGCCACCTGTTGCTGTTGGTGCTGCTGCTTCTGCTGGTGGGAGGCAGCGGTTCGCACAATCAGATCCCGACAGGTGTTTTGTAGGTGCTTCAGCTCTGCCTCGGCGCTCTCCATTCGGGCGGCAATCGAGCGCATGGCCTCGCTTCCGGGGGCCAGAGCCAGCTCCAGCTGCTTGGCCAGACGGCGGAGCACGCCCAGACGGCGTTCCCGTTCGGAAAGACCGCCATCGGAGGTGGCTCCACCATCGGAGATGCCCGAGTCGGAGAGGGAGCCGTTCGAAGCCGTGAACTTTGCGATGTGGTAGAGCTGATTGGGGTCCAGGTGCTGCTGGACGGCTATCATCTGTTCCTGGCTGACGTGCATCTTCTCGGAGAGCAGCTTGGCCACCAGCTTCACGTTCTGTGCGAGCTCTACGGGCGTGGTCTGTCCCTTGTCCAGGGCACCCTCGAGGCCCTCGAGTGTTCCTCTATCCTGTCCCAAAGCCAAGTGGAATTCACTCAAGCCCGACTCTAGCTGCCGCCAGGCAATCAGTGAGGCGGTGAGCTTCTCCAGTTGAGTGTTGATTCTATAAGGGATTTCGTAGTTAGAGATTTGCGGAGAGATACAATAATACGGATAGGACGTACCTGGCATCTGCCTCATCCCAAGCGCTGTACATGTCGCTGACCTCGTTTTTGAGGTGCTTGTGGAACTCCTGTTCGGCGGACATCAGAGAGTGGACATCCCAGGCACCAGTGGAAGTGGAAGCCTCTCCGGTGGCCAACGATTCCACCTGGTTGCCATTGCTGTCGGTGACGGTGATGGCCACCGATCCGTTGAGCTCTTTCTTGGCGGACTGCTCCTCCTTCTTGCTGGAGGGCTCCTCCTTCATTCCAGATTGCTCTTCCTTCACTGGTTGTTCGGACTCCTGTGGTGGATTCTGTTGGTGCTGCTCCTCCAGAGCGCTTTGCAGGCGTCTCTCCTGGCGTGTCAGCCAGCTGTGGACGGATGCGTTCAGACGCAGCATGTGTGTGCGGTAGCTGGAAAGCTGGCTCTGTTCGGACTGCAGGGAGATGGAGCGAGGATTAAGTGGGAGATCCCATGGAGATTTTAATAGAATGACGTACCTTCAGGGCCTCCACTGCTATCTGTATAGCTGGTTCCGTGTCCAGCAATTCCGGAGTGGGTTTATCGCCCAATCGCTGGAGCGTCTGCTTCAAGGCGCTCATCTCCTGTTGGAGGCGACGGGCGGCAGAGGCATTCTCGCTCCAGGACAGTAGATCCTCCCAGGCGGACAGCAGATCTGCAAGAGAAGAGGGGGTTGAGGATGAGGTTGGTGGTGGTGGGTTAGGGGTGGAATCGAGAGAGTTAACAGTTAAGAGAGTGCACCGAATAAGAGACAGAGAGAAAGGCCTTCTAATTGGTCTCCAATCTCATTTCCATTTGCGGCCCTTTGTAATGAATACCTTTCGCTTTTCCCCCCACACTGCGCCTCCCCGTACTTAAACGCCGCAAAATTGCTGGAGAAAAGTGAAAACTCTTTATTTGCAGCAGGAAAAACAGTTTTCAATTGCTTTTGCGGTTGAAATGATTTGTCTCATTGGAAACGATTTTACAAATTGGAAAACTCTTGGTTGAACGGTTTACCTTTACCTTTACCATTACCCCTTGCCGTGGATTATGTACCCCTCTCCAGGGTCTAACAGTTCCGCTTTGATCAGAACAAAAGAGGGATCGTGGGTTGGCTTTGATCGGAGCATAGGGCGGACTGGTTGGATCTAAAGCCAGTCACACTTCGAACACGTTTGACTGCGACTCAGAACATCAGAACAGCAGAACAGCAACAGCTCCAAGTTTTGGCGAACAAAAGAACAGGCAGAACCGCAACCACAAACACTCACCCGTTGGAGAGCCAGAGAGGGGGGACTGGACTGCGACTCTTGTGAAATGAGGGTTCGACTGGAGCAGATCAAACAAAGAACAGCTGTTGTCCCACTGCCAAACTGCGAAACGGCCTGTGTGGCCAGCCCTTTGGCTAATTGAAAGGCAGTGCGTGATGTTGACTTGTTCGCAAAGTACTTTCACCTTGGGGCCAGCCAAAAACGGTGTTTCTACTGATCTGCGATAAGCAAAGGCAGAGCAGGAGCCAGTAGTACTTGCCGGCGGGTAGGACACAAATCACAACCGAACGTGTTCGCAGCCAAACTCAATCTAGTTGAGTGAACCTCAGTGCGGACTCGAGCAAGCTCCGCTTGGTTGCAGCCCAAGCTCCAGCCACGCGTTGCATGCAGCCCCCACAATGGAGTGCAACCCACAGAGCGAGTCGAGCGCAACCAAATGCAAGGGGGGAGGTGGCTGGGGAAGGGGAAGCGGACGGAGGGGGTTCGACATTGATGCATGTACGCACTTTTGTTGGGGTGGTGCACGCTAGGCCTCTTCGCCTTTATCGGTCAGGGGGATCCGACTGGTTGGGTGACAGATCGGGACAGGCTCGACTTGGTTGGACAAGACAGAGACAGAGACAGAGAGAGAGAGAAGAAGCTACAGAGGAAGTTCGAGGTTGATGTATGAGCCTCCCTCCACGCACTTTTATTGCATTACACAATCTGGTACGCGATCAAACAAGTTCGTTCGTTCGAGTGGGGGTTCGGTTGAGGGGGGAGGACGGGTTCAACTCCACCTGCTTTCCGACTGAAAGATATTGAGTAATCCTCCCCGATGATCGGCCCACAGCTGCAGAGGCACCTGCCAGCATAAAGCAAAAAGCAAAAAGTGCGAAAAAATTGCACATAAAATTGATTAGCCACTAAACGGGCCGAAGAGATAGAGAGATGACTGCCCCGAAGAGACTTTCTCCTTGCGATAATCATCCGTCCAGCTAAATGAATTGCACTTTTCCGATTTTCCAACGGGTAGGGGGTGGTGGGGTATATATGGGTATAATTAATATGCAGGGAAAACCTAGCCGAAACTAATTTCAATTTCATCAAAAATATGCTGATTTCCCTCGCTCTCTTCTTTGCTTTTTTAAGCCTCTTAGCTGACATGCAAAATACATTTTTCGCGAAAACAGCAAACAAATGAAAATGCAAAAACCGCAAGGGGGCAGGGGGCCGGAGGGGAGGAGGGAGGAGCTGATACACCAAGGTCGTTGACGTGTGCCGCAACTGCTGGCAACAGTTTCAGTCTGAATATGAGAATTTATTTATTTGTGTGGGAGGAATACGAGCACCTATCGAGAGAGAGCGAGAGAGAGAGAGAGAGGTGTCGCCATGAGAGAACAGTCCGTTGTCGAATGCAGTTCATTCGAGACTTATATTTCAGTTTATTTTACGAGTAATATAAGACTCTTTGTTAAGGCGAATTGTTTACAGGCAGAGCTCTCTGGGACCCTTATCGGACCCTGTGTTTTACCCTCTCGAATATTATTTTCGCTCCCTTTCTTCCTGAAAAAAGGAACTTCCTTAGGCTTACTACCTCAATCTTCCCTATGCAACACATCCTTCCTTTGATTGCTTTTAGCCCCCACGGAATTGGCGTGTCAAAGGGCCATCAGCCATCAGCCATCAGCCTTGCCCAAAATGCGACAAAAGGGCGTGGAGCCAGCTACTACCTTCCGCCCGAATCGGAGAATGCCTCAAAAGGTATTTCGGTTCAAGATAAAACAGCAAACAAAACGCTAGAAAGGTGAGGTAATCAGAGAAACTACCTCCAAAAACGAACAGTGGAACGTACAGGGACAGGGACAGGGGCTGACCCAAGCCAGAGCTCAAAATATTTGCCAAAAACACATAATAATACTCGTAATCTTGAATAATTATGTGGTTCTGTTTGTGGCTCTGTCCCTGTCTCTGTCTCTGTCGATGAGCAACAGAGACAAACAATTATAGACAATTAGCAAAAGATATTTTTAAATGCTGATTAGAGAATCAGAGAGAGAGAGAGAGAGAGGGAGAGAACGAGAGCGAGAACCTCAAACATATAGCAGAAAAATTAGCATAGAGATGCGAATGGAAATGGAAATGTGGGTCTGGTCTGGTCTGGTGGAGGTTTCTGTTTCTGCATGACTGAAGTCATAAATTTCCCGATTCGAGCAGGAAATCTATAAACGGAAATGCAAATGGAAAGGTGTGTGTGTGTGTGTGTGTGAGGGTCATTGCCCTTAAGAGATTCGCATTGAAATATTTAGAGTATAGCAAAACTAATAAATCGATTCGATTCCATTTCGTTGGAACTCACTTTTCTAATGAATCGAAGGTCAACCACAAATGGGGCACAACCGAATAATTAATGGTATCGAATGACAACAGAGAACTTGAACTTGGACAGAGAGATATACCATATACCATATACCATACACCCCATATAGAGGCGGAGACGCAAGCTATGAGCTAATTGAGGCAACCGGTTCCGGCTTTTTCCCCCTCCGACTCCACGACTCCAAAATGCAAAGCCAACAACTTCTTATGAAACTTCAAAGCGAAACGAAACGAAACGCTTCCCCATAAAAGTGTGGCCCTGTTCGTGTTTACCGTTAATGAGTGTGGCCAGAGGAGCAGCAAAGCGGCAAACCATGAAATGCATGGCCAGAACCTAACCTTAATTAGCAGTCAGCCAATGCCTGTTACGAGCGAGAACCCCAAGTGTCCGATGGAGCTGCAGCCCAATTTGGCAGCTTGTATTGCAGATGGAATGGAAAATGGCTTATAGATGGTTTGCCCATGGGCTGGAAGTCGGTCAATGTGTCTGCCAGAACACTCCACAGCAATCTCTGGGTGCAGCCAGAAGCTGAGCCAATCATCGGCTGAGTGGAGTGATGCAAGCTTTCCTCGGATCATGGGAATTATTACAGTAGGAATAACGCAACTTCTAGCGGAACAAAGAGAGCAGAGTGGTGGGGAGGGGTCAGAGGGGGAGAGTCGAGTGCGGGATTTATGATCCATAACAGAGCTATGGATCTCTGTTTGTGAATGGTTCGGCATGAGTGTTTCCAGATGAGAGTCTGTATTGTGAAAGCGTTTTACAAGTGTCGTACAGTGGCGGCTGCAGAAGTTGGAGATATGTTTTAGGAACGAATGTAGTGAATGCTGCTTTCTCTCTCTAATTCCCACAAGCAAAGTTTCCACGAATGGATTGCCCGCCCATGGTAGCTCCTCTCTAAGTAGTGCTGCTAGCTTTCCCTGTACTTAAGTTCTTCTAATGAGTTAGCCATACTTATGCCTGTTTCTCTTTTATCTCTTCGCATTCCACTAGAGTATCTTCAGACTCGTCATCTCCCAGTCTTCCCCCCCTGCCCCTTTTAGTGGCTCAATTATCTTTGCCTCGTTTTCGCTCTTATCTTTTGTGTACGATCTTAACTCATCATCGTTCATACGACACCACACATTCCCCTGCATCGTTTACACCTGTTTCCCAATTATGTTTACCCTACTCCATTTCACATCATCATCTCTCTATGGAGATACTGCTCGCTCTTTTCTCTTTCATTCGTTTGTTGAGGGTTTCTCTTTCTGTTTACCTTGTTCCGATGAGGAGCGCGAGGTGTTGGCGGAGGAGCTGGCGGAGAAGAGCATTTCGGAGAGGTCCGTCTGAACGGCCACACTGACTTTTGTCATGGCGAAGGGAAGAGCTTTCTCTCTTCTATTTCTCGCTCTCAAAGTTTCACTCCCCTTTAAGGAAGTCTAAGGAAGTAGGAGCGAAAGGTCTCCACTGCTGCTGCTGCGCTGCTTCTCTCCCCTCCTCTCCTGCTAGTGTGACCCACTTCTTGTTTGTTTTTGTTAGGAACAGCACTTGAAATCAATTTTCGTAATCAATTTGTGTTTGAAAGCATTTCAATTTTACTTTCAATCTTCCACGCAAACAAAAAACTATAGGAATCGCACAGAAGTGCTGGGAAATTTGTTTACGCGACCTCGAAACGTTAACGGAGGGGAAACACTACGGCACACTCTTAGAACAGAGCGAATCGAAACTCTTATACGCGTCAGAAGGCAAAAGCACGCGACTTTTTATGAATGGCAAGACTAGGATTTCAGGCGAGGATTTTGGTGAATTATTTCCTTTGTATCACAGGTATTTTCGGGAGTGATGACGGAGAGCGATCGAGAGATTCTGCAAGGAGATTCTTGGGAAAACTGCGAATTTCGCGGAAGCACAGTTAAAGTTTTTATGAGGGGAGAGACATGGGGAGGGAAGTAAATGGCAGAACAGAACCGCTTGAAACGCGCGCCGAGAATTGAATGACGGACCGGACGGAAGAGGCAGAGGCAGCGGCAGAGACAGCGACAGCGACAGCAAAGCTCTCAGCACAGCACAGTTACACTTATTTCTTTTTATTGCTTTTGGCGCAGCAGCAGCAGCGCAGCTTTTCAGGTGGTGGAAATGTGCCGCCCGCGAGAGGCAAGCGGCAGAGAGGGAGAGAAGCAACAGACACATGGAAAAAGCGTGTGAGAAAATAAGTTTTGAACTTGGCTTTGTCACACGCTTTTGTCACTCTCGGCTCTCTCTGTGTAAATTTGGTTGTGTTTGTGTGAGAGAGAGAGGGTCTGCTTATTAGTTTCGGCAGCTTACAGAGAGCAAAGGCCAAAATCGACGACGTCATTTTCTACTGAATTAGATGGGTAACAACAAGAGAGAGAGATAGAGAGATGATGATAGCGATAGCGAGCTAAAGCTCTCATTAAAGCTTGAGCCACAGTTTGATGTTGACTTTAACATCCGAGGCGACATCTAGCGCTTGCTGAAAAGCCCAGCCTACAGTTATAAAGTCCCATCAAATTTTCTGAAGAAACCCTCATTATTTCTAGAATACATATATCTCAATCAACCCTCGTTTTCTCTTTGTTTTAAAATATTTTCCCTCCTCAAACACATTTGTTTATACATTTTTTCGCTGCCAGAAGACTTGTACATATGACGTCAGTGGGCAAAAATAAATTTGCTCTTGGGAGGGGTCAAAATTAAGCCAGCTGGCCGTCTAGGTAGAATTTTCCCCTCCTCTATTCATCAGATTTATGGGCCTAATCTAAATACTGTATAAACACTTCAAAGAATGAGGAAAATTTAAGAGGTTTCCATCTGAAGGAGAAGAACTACAGTTTCGAATATACGAGAAGTGCATTCAAAACTTTAGCCAAGACACAACCCCTTGTGTAGATGATGTGTAAAATGCATGTAGTATTCGTGTCGAATTATGGTAGAAGAGGGTTTGGTGGACTTTTTCTATAAAATGGGAGATATATCTCCCGATTCGATTGAAAATAATCAATAAATCAAAGGAGTAACTATGTGCTGAATGGATAAACTGTTAAATGTAGTGTGGCTGAATCGATTAGAGATCACAGATCAGTAGAGAATCAGTACGGTGCAGAGTAGGGATATTCCTTACAGGAATTTGCAGTAGATATGGAAATATTAACAATTAACCGATAGCCTTTAGAGGTGTTCGGCAGACGGACAGCTTTGGATGTCGTTATACAAATCTAAATTAAATGCTTAGAGCTAAAAACTTAAGAGCTAGAACTTAAGACTAAGATCTGTTTGAGTACGAGTGTGGATATGGGGTGGACCCATTACCGCTTTAGGGAGTACAGTACGTTCGTACGATTAGTGCTATTCTACGACGATTGATGTCACAACTAAACTCAAAGCAAACTAAACAGAGAGTTAAACGGTGATTAACGATGATTATTAGATAGATTAATTGATTTTGTTAAGACATTTGACAAAAACACAGGCATTAGGCGGCTCTACATGGAGTTAAACAGAAGGATGACAAATGACAAAACACCAAAAATATCAGAAAATATCATGAAATTATCGATAAATATCGAAAAATAACTCTGGCAACAAAGAATTATAACAATTTTAGTTCTGCTTTTGGTGTTTCGATGCTCAAAACGTAATTTTTATTGCCAAAAAATGAAAGAAGGAAAAAAAACAAATGCGCAAGAATAAGCAAAATAATTGAACAAAAATAAAATTATTTAAAAATAATAAAATTAAACAGAGAAAAGATCAGTAAGGCAAATTGTGTGGAAGATTCGATGCGAAATGCGTTTTGTCAAATGCAGCAACAAAATTCTTTTAAATCGTATCACATCGTATCGTAAATCGTAAATCGTACATCGTATATCGTATAATGGTTTAAGGATCCATGTATAATACATCCAAATAATACAGATTCGGTTCATGCTTAAAGCCTGGCCAAGACCCCCCAACCCCGCCGCGAATGAGGGGCATTCCTGCTCATAGCAGACCCCTAAGGCCCCCAAAGAGCCGCTCGAGAGGCCCCATGGGCCGGTTGACCAGCGCATAGAGCGACCTGAGAGTCCCGGCCAGGAACCTGTAGAGCGCAAAGTGCTCCAGCAGATTGCCCAGGTCCATAACGAACTCCAAGAGTCGCGCCACAAAGCGGGTAATGGGCGCACACTTGCACTCGGCGATGGCTAAACTTCCACCTGGAATGGGGATCGGTTCTGCATCTGTATCTGCATCCCCTTCGGGTGTGGCAGCCAGGTGCTGGCGCCTTCGCCTTCTGACAGATGATGTTGATGATGATGATGGAGGCTGCTGCTGGGACTCACCTTTTGTCTGGCCAGCGCACTGGTTGGAGAGGACTGTGCCGGGCGGACCGCGGAGCACGGCCTCCAGGCAGCGAATGTTATCGCGGCAAGTGTTGATGATTTCATTCTGCAAGGCCACAAGAAGTAGAAATTAGTACGCTGTTCCCTTGAGGCTCTTCTCTGCTTATCCTTACGTAATCTTCTGGTCGAAGCAGATGACATCTGATCTTCAAGGCTCTAGTGTCCTCCAATCGATGGCGACTCTGCTGTAGGAGCGAACGCATCTCCTGCTCTCCGTCCTCGGAGTCATCGCTGCTGGATGACCCAGTCGAGGCTGGAATCAGCTTGATGGACTTCTCCAGGTTCCTGGAGGAGCGGCGCCTCTCATCGGCGGTCACAGTGCGGCGTCTCCTGGTGGAGGTGTCGCTCTCCGAAGTGCGACGGAGCAGGGACTGGGCCGAGTGGCTCATGCCTGCCCCTGCACCTGCACCAGCGCCAAAGTCCAGCTTGCGACCCACGGATTCGGTCCGCAGATTCAGCTGCTGATTCGCTGGAGGCGTCATCAGGGCTGTGGCAGAGGCCGAGAGTGAGGGCTGGGCCTGAAGATTCTGCTGATCCTTATCCTTTTGTGTATTGCTAATGGTCTCATCCATATCTGAGGAGCAGAGGCGGAGAGATGGTAGTTGGGGGTCTCCCGAGAGTGGTGTAATCGTTTCCTCACCTTGACACGACTTGCGTCTCACTTCGAGGGTCTTGCGACGCCTCTCGTACTGCAGCTCCAGGGCTCTCTGGCGGCGGGCGTGGTCGACGCTGCTGCTGATGGTCTCCTGGTTGATGGCCAGCGGCTTCAGCTCGTGCCTCTGCAGCGAGTCCATGCGCGGCGGTGAGAACGAGTCCAGATTGTTGGCCGCCGACAAAGAACTGCAGCCATCCGACTGCGAGTCGATGAAATTGCTATGGGAATGGATCATCATCAGATGGGATTATTTATGGGATCCGTTGAGCCGTTTATAAATAGTTTTCTTGGCAAGCTTTCAAAGGTCACCTCTCATGCTCTCATCATATATCATCGTCATGATCATCTCTGTGTACTCACCGATAGTCGTCGCCGAATTCCAAGAGACGACGAGCCGCATCCGAATCAAAGCCCTCGGAATAGTTCTCCGAGTTGTATTTCTCTTGATAGTTGTCCCAGGCGGTCTCCGAGATGCTGCTGTGATGATCTTCGGTGCTGAGTTCTGTTCGGGTGAGGAACGATATGGTAATTGTAATAATTGGGTACGCTACGTTTCGGCGAGATGTGATAGAGGACATAAATCGCGGATGTGACAGATGTGATGGATGGATAGAAAAGGTGGATGGAACAGAGAGCGGTGGGGTGAATAGATGTACAATGAAAGCCCTGTAGCTCTCGCTGTACATCCGAGATATCGGATATCTTTGGGAATGGAATGTTTTCATTTCTATTTGGGCGTGGGGTGCATTGGCTGTACCTTTGGGCCTGGTCTTTACCGGCTTGGGTGCTTGTGTTAGAGAGAACAAAGATTGACAGATAGATAAAAGTGTGAACCTATTTCCTTCCTTCCCAAACGGAGGAACTGTTCCGTAGTCTGTTCTTACCTGCTTGCTGTTCATCCTCGTTCATGTAGTTGGACAGGGCTGCCAGTGCTCCGAGCCTCGTGTCGGTGGCCATTAGGCCAGCGGTGGTGAAGGAGCCCACGCGGAACTTCGGCAACATCAGATGTGACTCCGGGTCGCCTTCAGCCAGCAGAGTGGCCTCTGCTCTGGGACTCCCTGGAGCTCCCTTCTGGATGCTCAACAAAGCATTTGTGAACTCCTGCAGCTGCTGCGAGGACATGGACTCGCAGGACTTCATGAGGGTCTGGGTGAGATCCCCTCCTCCGGCCTCCGAGCCGGAGTCCGACTTCCTGCCTGCGGAGGCAGCCGAGATGCGCTTCTTGCGCGCCTTTCGGCGCCTCAAGGAGCCCTTGCTGTCGCTCTTGCGGGCCGCATTGCTGCCGGTGCCCGAAGAGGAGGCTGCACGTGGCCGGGGGCCCGGGGAGAGCGAATCCAAGGCGCTCTCGCTGATCGAGTGGCTGGCCAGGCCCGGCGGGGAGTTCTGTCCCACCGCGACGATCGCTGTCGTCAGCTGGTGCCCGGCGGCGTCTGTCGTCAGCTGCGAAAGGCAGGACACAGACCAGGGGCGCTCCGACTTGCGGCGTGCCTGCGGACGCTTCACAATCTTGACGTTCAGGCTCTGGTTGCTGCTGCCGAAGCCCAGGGGTGTGACGGGCTGGCCAATGGGCTCTGCAGAGCCCCCGATCCTCTCCGTGGAGTTGCCGTACGAATTGGTGCTCGTCTGCATGCAGGTGGCTATGGAATCGGTGAAGCCCTCGGAGGTGTCCGATCCCCCGCCATTGAGGGCGACTCCCCCTGGCTGGGGCACGGAGTCCGTTTCGGATGCCTCGCCCGAGGCCTCGCAGTCATCGGGCTTGCATCCAGGCAGTAGTTCATGGGTGTGGCTGCGCGTCAGCAGCTGTGGTGTGGATGGTTGGTGCTCCAGCCACTCCTGGAAGGCGCAAAAGAGAGGGTTTACACATTAGATTCGGCTTGAGGACCATGGAGGCTCCACCGGGAACTCACCTCCACGCGCTGCTTGATTGGCGGCGGCATGTGGACCTCTCGTTTCTTGACCGTCGACGAGATTTTGATGATGGAATGTTTCTGCTTCGTTGGCGTCTTCAGAGCGGCCTCTTGAGCGTCGCGCACCAGATGCTCGGCTTCCAGCACAAGCTGCTTGATTGAATCATGCGAGACCTAAAGAGCGACACGGAGTTGTAGAGTTATAGTTATAGAGCTGGTAAAATCGGGTTTTCAGAGTTTTTCAGGGCTGTGGAGCGAGAGAGTGTGCTTCTAGAGGTCGGAAATTAACGACCGTGGCAAATCGCAGAGTCTTTGCCGCTTTGCCTGTTGATTCACTGAAGTCTTGAGGCTGACTAATATCGGAAAATGTAAGTATAGCGATGGCCCGACAGAGGGAGAGTGAATGAGTGTAAGAAAGAGGAAGTGTGGAAGTGCAGTGGAAGCGAGAGAGAGAGAGAGTGCACAGGCTAGAGAGGGAGAGGCAGAGCCTACGCCTTATCAGGGTGGGAGGCATTCTCTTATCGTGCAAAACCATTCACTCATTCTCCCTTATCGCAGTTTGTCACCCATTTATAGTGCACTTCAACGTCATTACTGTGGAGTGGCTTTCAATGGAGAGTGGAGCGGGTAGAGTGGAGTAGGGGGAGTCCCAAGTGGAGACTTGAATTCGCAATTTATACAGACACTTCTTATCTCCCTCTAGTTCTGTTTATTCCTATGGCCGCCTCGTTTTTTCTCTGTTTTTGTGGGTGGCTCACTCATCAATCAAGTGAGTGGGTCGTGGGCTCCGTTCTCATTCCTTTCCAGGAAAAGAAATGTCTTTTGTATGGCATTTGCATTGAGAAATGTGTGCGTGGGAAAGGCAGAAGCACAATAGAAGGCAGGAAAATAAATGTTCAAGTGGAGAAATAGGGGACAAATATCAAGGATTACTTTTGAATAGTAATGGTGCACAATTCTATCCTCAAGATGGTCTCTAGCTTTAGCTCCCTTCCCCCATTTCCGCTTTATACAAGTACTGTATCGTTCCTTATGGGGAAATCATTCGTTCGGGAACCCCCCATAAAGTAAACCAAACGATAATTTGATTGAATCAGAGCTCGGTTGTGCTCGACTTTCCTCGTACTTTGCTTACCAAAATCGGAATTCGAAACATGTACCCACTCGTAGTACTCGTAGTTCTCCCAGTAGGTTTTCCGAATAGAAATCCAATCAACCATGGCTAATTGTTCCATTTGGCTTACGAAAATGTTGTAGTTTTTCACTTTGGTTTTTTTTTGCTTGGGGCAATTGAACAATTTCAAGGTTTGAGTGCCCCCAAAACAGATGTTGAGGGCTCTGTTTTTTGTGTGTTTCTGTTTATATGTTTGTATCTGTATCTCTATCTGATGTATCTTTATCACTCACTCACTCACTGAAGTTGAAACACTGTCTACACTTGGGCTTACTGTTGATCTTGGGCTTAATTTAATTAACAACTTCCTGCGGCAACGAGCGGCACGCGAAAGAGCGCTGATGCCCGCCGATCGAAGGAGGCAAGTTTGGCAGCGACTGGCCACTGGCCACTGGCCACTGGCCACTGAGTGGAGCTCTGTGGCAAACGGAAACAATTTTCTAATGCGAATGCGCGAATGCCCCGCTAGTGAAAACGCCGTCGTTTACGGTTCACAGTTACTCGGCGCTGGCGGGGAGGAAAAGCGACGCGGCGATTGGGCGTCTGCGATAAATAATTAAAGGCAATTATTAATGCGAGTCTGTGGCATGAATGCCACCAATTAAGGCCCAAAACTGGAAAGCATGGCAGCATCTATGTATCTCTGGTACTCTGGTACTGCAGGGTACTCCTGGCAGTGCGGTATCGCTGGCTCCTCGGTGGAGCCTTGACAGTTGTCGACTGGTCGGTGGATCGCTGGATCGCTGGATCGCTTTACGCACAGACGCACAGCACAGCACAGCACTCTTTCTCTGTTTCTTTTTGGCAAATCTAATCGCGTTAATTATTTGAAATCGAGGCCAGGCCACTCTGAATTATTTACAGTTGCACAAGCACTGGGGTTATCTAGCGGGAGTGGATTTTCGCTCGTTTTTGTTTTGTTTTAATGCACACTACACTTTTTCTACTGTGTTTTTTTATTGCTTTCCATTGTTGGTTTTTGTTTAGCAATTGTTTGTTGTTTGGTTGGTTTTCATCTGCGACTACGACTGCGACTACGACTACGACTACGAATAGTATCTGGATCTGGGAGAGTCGTCCGCTAACCGTTTCGTCTGCCGTCCGTTGGCTCCAACGTTGCGAATCGCACTGACGCGAGCGGGCGAGCGAGCGAGAGAGAGGCTATTGCTCTGCCTTGTGGCTGTGGAATGGGGGAGGGCGGGACAGACGGACGGGCTACTGCACTCACACTCCGACACTCCAGCCCCAGCCCCAGCCCCAGCCCCAGCCCCAGCACCGGCCCCAACACCGGCCCATGCGCCATGTTCAGGCACAGTTAAAACGAATTAAAATAAACTGTCGAACCGAAATGCGTTTGATAATAGCCCCGAGAGGGTGTGAGTGGGGCAGCCGGGGGCAGTGGGGGCGGGTGTGCAACGGGGGAACAAGCGACAGCTAGATAAGATAATGGCAGCGCAAAAAATCAATGTGAAATCGGTTAAATCTTTGAGAGAGCAACTGCCATTAAGAGTGACACGAGCGGAGGAGCCTTTGGGCGCTCTCCTTCAACTATCCCTAGTATCTCCCACTCTCCCTCTCTCCCCCTCTCCCGCGACAGTAAAAACGTTTATATCTCTCTACAATAATCGCTCATTGTCTATTATATCTCTTTTCATTTCTTTTTATTTCTGTATGTTTTGATTTTTTATTTGCCGAAAAACACAAATCATTTGTGTCCATCGATAAGATAATTGAATTTTTAGCGCTTGATTTCCAACGTCATTGCTCTGCCGCATGGCCTTTCCTTATCTGGGAGATCTCTTTTGGGAGAAGGTGACTTGATATATGTATTACGCGTGGTTTCCACTGGAGTTCAGGTTCATGTTCAGGTTCAGGTTTTGGGTTTTGGGTTTTCGATTTCGGTTGAAATTTGTCAAAATTAATCAAAGCTGCACAAAATTTCACTCTCAATAAATCAACGACGCACTGCACTGCACTGCACTGCGTAGACACATGCGTAGCAGTCGTGCGGCGTGCTCCGTGCCCCGTGCCCCCTTCCTGCCACACTGAGTGCCCTCCGGCTGGAGCGTAGAGAAAATTGCGTGCATCGGCGGGCGACAAATGCAAATGCAAATGCCCAAGCCTATGCGCAACATGTTGTGGTTGGGGTTCGGAATGGAAAGTGAGAGTAGTGTCCAGTGTCCAGTGTCAAACACGTTGGACGACAGACATTGATGGGCAGCAAGCGGCAGCGACAAATGATCGATGGAAGGCAGGCGGGGGACTACCAAGAGAGGGAGGGATAGAGATACAGAGAGACAGACACCCACACTCTGCTGTGCTCCACTGAGCCATAGATCGCATTACCCCAAAAGATGCGATGCGATGCGATGATCGCTTACACTCCATTAAATGGCAAGCAAGTTGTCAGCGCCTGCCAGGGACATGCTCGTGCATGTTTTACCAGCGAATTTACACGAAAAATGTTGACCACAAAAGGAGATTAGAGAAATTTGAGACTCGAACGCACACACACACACACACACACACACACACACCGGGCTATAGCGGACCACCAGCATCGAAGAGTCCATTCGATAGGCCAATGATCGATGGAGCGACGGATCGATCGGACTCCAAGGGAAACCGAAACTGAAACCGAAACTAAGAAGCCGCCTGGGAGATCAAAAGTAGAAATTATATTAGATCCCATCTGGAGAGCACTCCAGCCCCCCACCCCCCAAGCCATAGAGAAAGCCATAAAGCCTCTTAGAGTCCAAGAGTCCAAGAAAAGGAAGCTCCACTTCCTTCCTCTTTGCTAGAGAGAGAGAGAGAGAGAGAGATACTCACTTTGACTGGAGAGGAGAGCATCATGGAGGCCGACATGGTGGCATTGCTGCTGCTGGCCTGCGACTTTGATGATTTCGCAGACTTTGCTGGGGATCGTGGAGGCAAATGCCGATTGCCATTGGTGCCACTCGCTGTTGCTCCCGCTGCTGCCTCGCTGGGCCACACGCTGATGTTGCAAATGTCCGCACGGCTATAGAAATGCTGCTGGTGGCAGAGAGAGAGGAGAGAGCAGTGAGGAAAATGTAATGTTAAATCATGACTCTATCCAAAAGATTGACAGTTTCCTCGCGAATTTCCCTAGTATAAATCCCTGTCTACCCGTACCCGTACTCGTAGCCGTACCCGTACTGTCCCTTTCAATTGTTTCGTTTCGTTTCATTTGGTTTGAATGAAGAAATAAATCACACGTTTCCCAAGTAATTTTGTACGAGAGTACGCGAGTACTTTCCCATTTTTGACGTGCTCAACTCAATTTCAATTTCCCGAGCCTCCGAAATGAACGTTTTTCCTGGACCACGACATGGCATGTCGGTAGTCATCGATCGAAGGCAGGTCGGTCTCCCAATCTCCCAGTCGTTCCTCGTTCCCATTTCGAATGGCAGGAGTCGGTGCATGATTCGCTTTCATTAACCCAACTGCTTAATCATTCGCCGGGGTTTACCATTTATTGAAAATGCTATACATACGATACGACCCCTTTTGTAAGAGCTTCACTCAAAAGCCTCCTTCCTCGCCCTCCATGCATTCTGCAAACAAAACCAAAACTCTTTTATTGACACAAGTCACAGGCACAGGCACGGACACGGACACAGACACAGACTCCGACACAGAGGCACAGACCCAAAGCCAGAGACAGACATGGCCAAAAGAGAGACAGTCAGACAGACAGACAGACACTTGACTGACTGTGGGAACCGGCTCTGGTCTCTAGGATCGAATTCGATTTGTATTGGTCTATAAATGGCAGCCAGAGATCGCTGGACAGTGGGAGATTAAACAGGGAGCCATGGAGGGTTCTCCCAGAATTGAGCAAAAAAGGGTTCACGGAACACTTTGAATAGAAGATGATTCCTGTTCTCTAAACAGATCTGTTTGTACTTCTCGTAATAAGGTGCCAATGGCTGATATTTTCCTTTCTCTCAGATCCCTAGTGTCACACCATACACAAGAACTTATTCCCCAAGATAATTATTCATTAGATTCTCTCCTACTTGGAGTTCTAGTTGGTTCCATGCTTCACTGGTCATAAATATACTTCAAGCAGAGCTCTCTCTCTCTCGTTTAGCTTCGCTTCCACTCTCATAGATCCATCATTAATGGCTGATTTCCTTGCTTTCTATTCCTTGTTCTACCCCCTAGAAGAGTCCTATCATACAGACCTCTGATGAACGATCTTTCAACCCAATTCCATAAAGTATTGTGGTATATCTCTTCGTATCACTCACCTGCTGGGCAGATTTGGTGGCATTTCCATTTGCCATATCAGCGGTTGTCTCATCAACGCCCCCCATTTTCCGATGGTGCTCCACCTCTGCTCCTCGGGATCCATCTCCATCTGCATCTGCGCCATCGTGTGTTGTCCCCTCCTCGTTGTTGTTGTTGGCTGAATCCAAGTGTTTGTGGCTGTAGCAATTGTTGTTGCTAATGATGTGTCTGTCGCTGGATTGGAACTCCATCTGCATCTGCAACTTCTGCTGCTGCTGCTGCTGCTGATGCTGCATGACCAGGTCCATGGGGCGCTGCATCTGAGTGACTCGCGAGGTGGCCGAGGTCTCTGTGTGTCTGCCGTTCGAGTTGGACGAGGAGCAGGCGCTGCTGCTGTCGTAGTTGCTGCTTGTTGCCGCTGTTGTTGTGGCAACAACTGTGGCAGATGCTGCTGTTGCTGCTGATGTTGTTGATGCCGCTGTGGTTGTCGTAGAAACCAAAGCCTCCTTGTTCTCCTTATCAGAGTCGTCGCTGGGCAATGCTTTTCCCCCCGAAGAAGTTGTTGAAGAAACGGCCGTCGACTGCAGACCATCCGCAATCGTTGTGCCAGTGGCTTCCAAAGCTGTTCCAGTGGCCGCAGTGGCAGTGCCAGTGGCAGTGGCAGTTGCAGTGTAGTGCCAACCCTCGTCGTCGTCATCCGATGAGGCATCAGCCGATTTCAGTATCTATATATTTGTGTGCAACATCCAGAGAGAGAGAGAGAGAGAGGGAGAGGAGCCGTGTGGCAAAGGGAAACGGAATGAAACATTAAAATCAGTGGAAAACCAAAAGAAAAACCCAACAGATGAAGATGAAGTGGTAGAAAATGAAGTTTAATTAGCGTTACTTGCGCAAAATGGCAAATTGTACGAGAGACAGAGGCAGAGGCACAGGCACACTTGCAACTGGCAACTTGCAACTTGCAACGTGCTGCTGCACATGAGCTTTGAATCAGCATCTCGCCGCAAAGACATGTAGAGGACTTGGGGCAACGCCTCTTCTCCATCTCCGTCTCTCGGTGACTTTGTCTTTGCTGGCAATTTATTTCCATTTGGGATGGTGACGACCCCAGAAGTCAGTCTGTTGTTGGCTGTGGGGGCTGGTGTGGGGGACAATGTGGGAGATAGATGGAGGAAAGGACTGTGGACAGAAGTCACAGAACAGACAGATGAACAAACAAATTACGCCTGAACGCTGAAGATTGTGGAGAGAAGGAGAGTAGGAGAGTGGGAGAGAGATATCCCGAAGTTGGAACAGACCTTAAGCGCTAGATCTCATCTTCAAAAAGATTTCCGACTTGTTTTTAGAACTGAAACTCGAGTTTGTTCGTGATCATGAGAGATCTTTTGGGGAGTTTCGAAGAGAACAATCGGAAATGAAATCATCTGTCTTTCAGTTTAAGGCTTTCCAAAGGCCCTTTCTTTGAAGAATGAAAAGAACTTGGATATTGAAATCAAGGGTATCATAGCTTTCATATATGTACGAGTATTTTATGCTTCCGCAAGAAAGATCTTCAAGCTTCCTAATGAAGATGGTTCTTAGCGGTGCCAGAACCATCTATGGACTGAACAGGTCTTCTAAAAGCCATCGCTCTCAATTCCATAATAAATAATAGATTTTTGTTTCTCTTTTCTAAAAGAAACACATGGCTCTTATTTTTTTTTTTTTTTTTTTTTGTTAAGTAAACTTTTTTTTTTTATTGGTTAGATGATTAATGGTTCGAGCGATGTTGGTTTTAGTTGAAAATGAAGACTACCGTAAGATGGAACATCAATATATCAAGAGAATTTAGTTAGGCATGCCAAAAATACATCAAAAGTTCGTATAGTATATAGAAGTTAGTTGGATAGATCGTTCTGTTTAGTTACTTATGGTACAGGGAGGCATGCTAATTAGTGGGCTACAGCCTGTGGAGGACGAGGGACGATGGGGTGGACACTCCACTCCATGGATGTGGATGTGGATGTGGATGGAGACAGACGTGACGGAACACCTTTGCCTGTGATGATGATCAGATGATGACCCGTAACCGACACACACACGCAAGAAAAAGAAAAAAACTAAGCTCGAAGACTGACACCCAGAGAGAGAGAGAGAAGAGACCCAGAGATTGTGGGGTTTCACTTACGTCGCCTCCAACTCCAACGCCAACTCCGACGCCAACTCCAACTCCAATCTGGGGATCATCTTCGCTGGGCAGATCGCTGCATTCCGCTGCCGCCGACTGCTCGTTGTCCGTGTCCAAATGCTTGAAGTAGAAGATGGCGCAGTTCTTCGACTTGCGGTTCGACCTATTGAACTTTGATGTGTCATTATGCCGATGGGTCGTCTTCCGCAGACCCAGCGGCGATTTGTTCAGCTCGTTCAGGCCATGTCCATGGCCCATGGCGTGCCCGTGACTGTGCCCAAGCCCGTGCCCGTGCCCGTGCCCGTGCCCGTGACTGGTGTTGCCGTGCGAATTGGGCGTGATCACGGCCACGGCAATGCTCTTGCCCCCAGCCGACTTGCTGTTGCCGCCACTCGATATCTGTATGGGCAGCATTTTGTTGCCCAAACTGTGACGCTGCTGCAGCATGGCCGAGTGGCTGCTGCTGCTGCTAATGCCGTTCCCGTGCCCGTTCCCGTTCTGCGACATTTCCACGATCTGTGTGGCAATCAAGGGTGGCGCCCGGCGGCTGTTGCATAGGCCCACGCCGCGGCGGCTCAGCTGTTGCACCTGCTCGAGGTCGCTGCTCTCGGAGTCTGCCTCAAAGTCGGTCAATGTGGCTGCCCCCTTGGTGTGGGCGGTGTGGGGATGGTTGAGGGGATGCGGATGCCGGCGTTTTCCAATCAAAAAATCCACCACATCGGCTCCCAAATTTGCGTCTTCTTCGTCGTCTTCCTCCTCTAGCTCCTCGTCGGCCTCATCGCCGGGCTACAGACAACAACAAGAGAGCGATAGGTGGGGGAGGTTGTTAGAATCAGAGGGGCAGATGCAACACACAAGGAGGGGAGGGATATGGTATATGGGATATGGCAGAGCTCTGCCTCTAGAGTGCTGCCAACTTGGATTCGTTTTTGTTTTTGTTTTCCTTTGGTTTGGAAAGATCAGAAAGATCTTCTCAGATCATTTGTTAAGTATTCTTTGCTGCCTTTTTTGGTGGCGGATAACTGTCCGCCGTTTTTGGGTTCGGGGATCGGGTTTTGGGGTTCTGGGGCTTTGGGCTTTTGGGCTTTTGGGTTAGGTTCATGGCATTCGAAGTAACAAAAGTTGACAATACTGTAGAAGGAGGAGGCATGCAACAACTACTCGTACGAGTACTCGTACTCGTACGTACAACAAGAAACACAAACAACTACATGCATTCAGCATACAGCATAACGATATGCAAATCCTCGAGGAGGAGGAGGGAGGAGGGGTCCGGGGGACATCGCTTACCTTTTGGGATGCAAGACAATCGCGTGGCTGATCCTGAGAGATGTGCGACGACTGTACGACGATTTCCGTGGCCGCAACCACGTGGCACCGCTGCAGTATCAGCTCCGGCAGGGAGTTCTCCAGAAACTCACTCTCCAGGTCCTGGTCCTGTTCGTGCTCCAAGTCTAGATCGGAATTGACCTCGTTCAGATCGTCTTCGGTGGCGGCATCGCCCTCGCCCTCGTAGCCAAATGAATCGTCTTCGGTGTCGTCCTCGTCCACGTCCTCGTCGTCGTCGTCGTCGTCCAAACCATTCTGCAACAAAGTATCAAGATAATGAAGGGGTTTTCCTTAGATTGTTGAGTGGGCTTAAAGGCTTAAAGGCTAAAGCAGTCCAATAAAGTTGTATGCACAAATATGAAGTTTCGCCACTTTTAATTGGCCAAAAACTCTCCACTCCACACTCTACACTCCACACTCTACACTCTGATCTGATCTTCATCTTTCATCTTTCTCTGGGAAACTGGGAAAAGACTCTACGGGTGCTGGACAGTCGTCTCCTTCCCACAGGTTTGAGCTGTTTGGCGCTGTTTTCCTGTTTTCCATCACGTAACCATTCGCTGACTGAGCTTCCTCTTCCATATGTTGACTAAAATTATAATTGCTTTCAATTGTCGACACACGAAAGAGTCTTGGACTTGGACTGGGGATTTCGGATTGGATCAGCGGGTGGACAGGACAGGCCAGGCCACCAAACACTTGGTGCTGTCTCCTGTCTGCTGTCTGCTGTCTGCCTCCAGACAGATGGTGGGATAAGCAGGCGGACAACAGGCGGCAAATGTGTTATAGATACTCTTTCTAGAGTTGTATTTCCTTGGTGGATCCATTGGGAGTGCGTTAAATCTTTAAAAGTCAAGATATAACCACTTTCTAGCGACGTCCAGCAGCGCCCATCGGTCGGTTGCCTGGGATAGAGCATTCCGTGGGCATTCGTTATCCCTCTTTCGCTGTTTCGCTTTTCTTTTTATGTACACACCCACTCGTGATGTGGCACCAAGAGATGGAGACGTCTGAAGAGGCCTTGATGGTAAATATTTGAAAAATGCTTGTGTTTCTTTCGCTTTTTACAAGAGAAATAGTCTGCCAACCCCCCAATCCCCCCCCGTCCGCTAACCTCGAATGACCTTGCTCTATCCGCATTAGCATTACCTCATGGCACAGCATTCGCATCGCCATCTCCATCGCCATCGCCATCGCCATCGCCATGTTACACACTGTAAAACCACTGGTCTCAACACTCTATTAAAATTTAAATACGAAATTCCACAATTAACCCCAGCAAAGACCTCCCCGTAACCCTCCCCAGCCTCCTCCTCCTCCGATCTAGCCCCCTCGAAAATGATCTGTGCAATCAGCTGTGGAATGGTATGGCCTGGTACTGGTACTGGGACTGGGGACTGGGGACTGGGGAATGGCTTTTATAGCCATCAGATGGTCTTTTGGCCAAACAATTTAATGTTTTTACTTTTTTGGATTTGCGTAATTTTGGTGTAGCTTTTCGGGGTGGGAAATGTTTCTGAGAAATGTTTCACTTGAAGAAGGCTGTTTCGTCGAAGGTCAGCCATCAGGCAACACAGACAGACACACACACAGACAGATTATGTACCTAATTGTCCAGATGATTTATGGCCAATTGCTGCTGCTCCTCCTGCTCCTCCTTCCCCACTTTGTGCTGTGGCGCCTCTTCGTTTGCTTTTTGTTTGTTTTTGTTTATGGGCAAAAGGCAACAACCGTTTAGTGCCAACAAAAGAGGTGAAATGTAGACCAAATAAACAAAGATCCCCCTTTGGAGAATGATGAAGATGGGATAAACAATGGACTACGCGAAAAACAATCTATGGATTAATCGGTAAACTCAATCTGTTAAAGGGCCTAGAAGTCGCCCATAAAAAAGATAGAAAAACTATGGAATCTTGGGAATCTTTTTGTGTATCTTTTGACGGGATAAGCCTGGCGGAAAGTGGGGGATTCCCTCAGACATTGAATGCAGATTCCCGAATCGATGGCACCCCTTAAAGAAACATCTTTCTTGATCTCAAGCTCAAGATCTTTCCATCAACAACTAATGGTATCCCCGACCAATCGAATATCTAATCGGTAATCGAATATCTTCGCCCCCACCCCCGTTTTGATCATCAACTTGTTGCTGGACTTTCTCTAAATTATCATATCACCCGCATTTGTGTGATGCAATCTTTGATCTCCCGAAACATCTCTAATTTGTTTCTCTCTCTCTCTCTCTCTCTGTCACGCTTTCATCTCAATCGAAATCTACATCCAATTTGGTACAACTTCAATCTCAATCTCAATAAAGTACAAATTAAGCGGAAAAACTCCGTTGACAAACGGTACACGGATGAGAGCTCAACAAGAGATTAGTTGGGAGACCCTGAAACTCCGAAACGATCGACTACCCACAGTGGTGTTTTGGGTTTACCACAAATTTATGTTCTTTTTATGTAAAGATCAGAGAGGGGAGCAGAACGAGAGTGGCGGGGGCACGAATGGAGTAGAACTCGCATCTCTAGGAGGCAGGGAGGCTGGGAGGCTGGAAGGGAGGGGCCTCAACCTCGAGAAGATCATCAAAAGATGAAGGTAACGCCTTCCACTTCCATTTCCATTTCGGTTGAAGAGGGTTCCCACTCCGTCTCTCTCTCTCTCTCTCTCTCTCTCTTCCTCCTTTGCTGGATTCTGCTTTTAGTTGGAAATTAAGTTCAGGGGAACTCCTCCTCACTCTCTATAACGTACGGAGGCTAGACCCCAAGGCACGTCCCTCGTGTGCCCCTGTGAACGTGTCGTCGCAGTCGTTCCACGGGGCCATCGCTTAGCACCTCATTTGGGGGCCTCGAAAGGTGGTTTCTCTCCTGGAACTCTGTCATTCAGAGGTTGCCCGGAGATCTGGATCTCTATCGCTCTCGAGACACGCAATTTCTGTTGCTCTGTCACAATTTTCATTTCATTGCCAGCGAGCGAGCGAGCGAGCGATAAACCAGAGCGATAACAATCGATACGTTTTGTGGTGCTGGGGAGGGGGGCGGTGGAAAAACTGTGGGAAAATCCACAACAATTGCTACTGTTTTTTCTGTGTTTCTCCTCATTGTGTACCGTGTGCTACCATTTTCATTTCCATTTCCATTTCATATGGAAATTATGCATTTCTCACACACGCCAGCGATTAATTATCGCTAAACGGCTTCGTGTCATCGATTGGTCGCAGGTACAGTCTTCATTAGCATACGACTCTATAATTATCATGCCATAAAAACGTGAGTTGCATTCGCTGCATATGCATTTATTTTCCATTTATGGGGGATACTAAAAATTAATGTTTTGTTACTAAATGAAGCCTCTTTCGGGGTCCGAGGAGATGGAGATATCATGGATACCCGCACTATTCCATCGGCATCTCTGCTCTTCCTGCAAGCATTCATAATTTCCCCCAACAATTACTTAATTCGCCAGCAAACATTCAATGAATTTTGACAGCAAAAAAGACTCCACAAAACTCTCCGATGGCGCGACAAAAATTGCAGACACCAGCAACACAGAGGAGCGTTGACAACCCGCACACAGGCAACAGGCAACAAGCAGGCAACAGGCAACAAGCAACATGCAGGCAACATGCAGCAACATGAACAATTTCCAAGTCATATGGAAAACTGGCAACATGCACCACAGTCCACAATCCCCACCCGCTGTAGCAGCGACAATATTATTACTTTCATTGTTGCTGCCGCAGCCGCAGCCGCTGCTTGGGGGAGAGCTGTTTGGGGCAGATATCTGGTGCTGGTGCTGGTGGTGGCTGCGCAAAACATTTCCTGGTACAGCCACAGAGCCGAGCCACAACATTGGACAACGTCCCCGCAATTTAGCTCAACTATTACAAATCGCATTAGATGCTAAATTTAGCAAACAACAAAAACAAAAAAAAAACAACGAAAAGCAGACAGAAAGAGAGGCTTCTCCGCGACGCTCCATTTGGTGCTGCGGCCGTGCCCCATGCCAGCATAATCTCTGTGCCTCTGTGCTGCAACATCTGCAACATCGACAGGCCGTCGGCCATAGTTTGCATATTTTCACTTTATGTCTGGGCTCTGGACTCTGGGCTCTGACTCTCCTCGCTCGTTCTTGTTCTCCACAAAAGCCCCTCTTTGACCCTAATATGTTGACAGTGCAACATGTTGCCGGCAACACTCTTGGGGCAGTGTGGGGAGTGCAGTGGAGTGGAGTGGAGTCCGTGGCCTGTTCTAGCGTGGGTGTTGCCCCCACGCCTGTGCCGCAGCGCCGAGCCCACGCAGAGAGATGCTAATGCCCGATTCTTAAGCCACGCAATTGCTCATAATTTGCAGGTTGTTTATGGACTTTACCTTGCAGGAGAGGCAGTCCGTAGGGGGCGCACATGGGGGCAGTGCGAGAGTGGGAGTGGGGGATCTGTGTACCCTGCTTTTCCAGGGTATCGATAGCTGCGTTTGGGAGCAACTATGCAGATCTTAGAAGTTTGGTTTCTATATAATCTACATAAATCCCAAAAAAGAATAGGGATTGAAGGGAGATTCAAGCCTTGTGTTCTACACACTTTCGGATGCATACAAGAGACATTCGTCTCGTTTCAAAGGACCTCCTTACAAGTCTTTCTATCTATCTATCGTACTACCAAAAATCATCGGAATCGGAACCAATCGGATAAGGAAAGCTATGGGCTTGAAGGAATCTCTCTAGATCACTTTTAGATGCATTCTCAGATCCATTTTGCAGTAAGGGGTATCCATGCGAATGGTAGACCTCCTCCTTCTGCTCGTTTTGCAAAGGTGTTGCTTTGATTTATGGGCCACAGCCACAGGTAACATTGCTGCAACTGCAACTGCAACTGCCACAAGCAAATGGAAATTCAAATGAAAAATTGACAATTGCAAGTTGAATCAAAAAAGCGTTACCGAAACACAATGGCAGCAAACAAAAGTCGCAATTTGACATTTGGAAATGTCAATAGGGGCCTCCGACAGCAGTTGTGGCAGTGGCAGGCCCCCATTCGAAGATGTCTCAAAGATGTTGCCACACGACACCCGGAGACACACCGCCTGCCTTTTGTACAGTCATATTGCTCTCGTTTGTTAGCATTTCCCATCGGATGGGGGCAGGGGTGGGGAGGCTTTCCCCCCCTCGTTCCCTCTCTCCAGCCACAACTTTCCCGCTTGGTAATTTCTCAACTTTTGTTCGATCTATAGAGGAAATCTTGAGCGTTTAACACAACAGCT